TGTCAACGGTGTGTTAAGATCTCCTGTTAAAATTGTGTTACTGCTAATTTGGTTTTTCATTTCTGTTAGTACTTGTTTTATATAACTGGGTGCTCTGGTATTTGTTGCATATATATTTAAGATAGTTATCTCTTCTTCTTGGAGTTTTCCCCTAACCAATATGTAATGACCTTCTTTATCCCTTCTGATCATTATTGGCTTGAAGTTCACATTGTCTGGAAACGGAATAGCCACCCTCACTTTTTTTGGGGTTCCTGTTGCATGAAATATTGTTTTCCATCCTTTGACTTTCAGTCTGTGAGTATCCTTCTGGGTTAGATGGGTTTCTTGTAGACAACATGTTGGATTTTGTTTCTTGATCCATTCTGCCAGTCTGTTTCTTTTAATTGGTGCATTGAGACCATTGACATTAATGGTTATATCTGTTATATATTGGTTTATTGTTGACATGTTATCTTTCTGCTGTTGCATCTTTATCTTTCTGTTCTGTTTAATTGTCTGCTTTGTTTATTGGCTTTTTTCCTAAATGTATCTAGGCTGTCTTTCAATATTCTTTGCAGGGTTGGCTTTGTGATCATGTAGTTTTTCAACTGTTCTTTGTCATGGAAGTATCTTATTTCTCCATTGATTTTGAAGGACAGTTTTGCAGGGTACATCAGTCTAGGTTGGAAATCATTTTTCTTTAGGATCTGGAATACTTCACTCCATGCTCTTGTTGACTTTATTGTTTGTGCTGAGAAGTCTGCTGTGATTCTGATAGGTTTTCCTTTATAGGTGATCTGTCTTTTCTCTCTGAAAGCTTTTAATATTCTATTCTTTTGTTCGATTTCTGGGATGGTCATTATTATGTGTTTGGATGTAGTTTTATTTTGGTTATGGCTATTTGGAGTTTCTATATGCTTCACTGATCTTGATATCAGTTTCTAATCTCATGTTTGGGAAATTTTCAGCTATTACTTCTCTAAATATCCTCTTAACATCCTTTATGTTGTCCCCTTCTTTTTCATTTTTCCCTATCAACCTTATGTTGTTCCTCTTTGTGTCACCTTGCAGGTGTTGAATTGTTATTTCCTGATTTCTTGTTATTTTTAAAAGATCTTTCCTTTCCTGTTCACTGGCTACAATCTTGTCTTCGAGGTCTGAAATTCTATCTTCACATTCATTGAGGTGGTTTTTACAACTTTCAATGGAGTTTTTGATTTCTTATATATCTCTTTGCATCTGCTTTATATATTCTGTTTGTTTCTTATATTGTTCATCCAGGGATTCTATCTTTTTGTTTAGTTTCTCCAATTTTTTAACTGTGTCTTCTTTAGATATGTTCAGCATCTCCTTCATTTCTTTTATCATTTCTTCTTTTACCTGAGAGATTATATCTTGTTTGAATTCCTTTAAGGCTTCCCAGAATTGCTTCTTTATTTCAGTTACTATTATTTCAGGTATGTGGCATGTATTTTCTTCTATGCACATGGCTCCTAGGCTTTCTTGGGATGGGCTGGATGTCTGAGATTGCATTTTGTTCTTTCGTTTTGTCATTTTCCTGTATTTTCGAGCTTCAAGTGTTGTTCCAAGTGAGGGAGAGAGGTACGCCAGGCTGGGATGGGGTTCTGCACCTCGGTGATGGCTATTCTTGGAAATGAGTCCCCTTGAAGAAAAATTTACCTTCATTGTCATCTGTAGGTTCTAATCTCTACATCTGACTTTGTTAGCAAAGGAGCTGTGACTCAAACTGAAGCTGTCCAAAATTGACTGCACTGGGAGAGATGTAAAGACAATTCTTTTGTACTAACTAGTTAAAAAACAATTGGCAGATGCTGAATATCATTGTTCCAATATACAGTATTTTCTATAAATCAATTAGACAAGGGAAAAAGAGGTTTTTTGTTTTTTTTTTCTGTCTATGAGGATATCTGCTATCTGTATGTACATGGCTCATAAGAAAAAAATCTCATATCACAAGCTAAGAGTCAGGATTTTACCCAAAGGACAGTGAGAAGTGTCTGAACAGTTATGCGCTGTTGTGATGTAGTCTAACTTTCAATTTATACAAATAATTCTGCTAGTAAAGCTTGGATTGAAAAATGGGGTTTTGCTTTAAGTGAGCTGGTGTCAAGCTGCTCTGGAAAGGTGTCTGGATCCTGGCAGTCAAAGGGCTTGCTTTCTATAGCCATCAAGCTTAGAAGGTAAGGCTACAGGGACTAGAGAGGCCAAGGTTTAGAACTCAAGTCCCATGCATAAATTTGGAACCATACAGGAGATGTACTGTCAGCCTAAAAAATAGAAACTGATACAAAGTACAGATATATGACAGGAAAACTAAGTTAGAAAAGAAAAAGTCTTCCTACAAATTTGAAAGTTTGGCCTCCATAAAGTCTGAATTTATATTACTTGTGTGGAGTTTATAGTACCTATGTGGTTCTAGAATCTTAAGCAAAGAAGTTAACAGTAAATACAATTCTAGAGTGATAATACTCCTTGGTGATTAGCAGGAACAACAAAAAAGCCACCCTCCTCTAAAGGAGTACACATTCTTATTTAATCTGCATGACTATCCTATGAAGTAGTTCATAGTTTATAGAAGAAATTAAGTTTAGGGATGTGAAGCAACTTGTCTAAAGTCACTCAGCTATTAAATAATAATAAAACAGAACTAGGTTTTTTAACTTGGTTGGTTCATTCATCTTAAACACATTACTGAGTTCTAATATGAGCCATGCAGAGACTAAATCTGTCCTTTCTAATATATTATGCTGCCCAGCATTTTTTTTCCTAAAATCAATAATTTAAGGTAACTATTTCCTTCTTTCTCAAGCTTACCAACTCAGTGAAAACGAAGGCAGCTAGGTTCTCAGCAAACAGGAAACCAAAGCCCATAGGACTAACTCCCAGGGGTTCTATCTGCCAAAGCAGTTCAATCCTTTCTGGCAAAAGAACTTAAAATTGCTGGAAACACTCTGAACTGGGAAAGGGAAAAGCAGCAAGAAGCTCCCTAAGGTGGGATACTGCCTCAAGGGTTCTGGTTATGAGAATTAATTTTATTAGAATAAATATGCAAAAGAAATTCAAACAAAATATTTAATAAGGACAATGAAGCTGTTGTAATAAACACAAATATGCACAATTTAAGAACAAAAGCTACAGTCATACCAGACTCAATGTCCAATATATTTCAAAATGTTGTTTTGGTTGTATAGCATTGGGACAATACTGATTTTGAAACATAAGCAGCTAGGACTGAGGGTGTAGCTAGCTCATTGGTAGGGCATTCGCCTAGCATGCACACCAAAGAACAAAACAAAACCAGTTGCAAATTACAGCAGTCATTTATAAACTTAATATGCATTCTTAATGCACTAGTCATTAAACATATATACATGTTATATAAAAATAGTACATAGTACTTTTTAAAAATCAGGTCAAATTTTTCAGGATTCTCTGAAACACACTCCTAGTGTTCTCATTGAACAAAGTTTGGAAGCAATCAGACACAGATCCTCTGAGACATCCTTTCACTCAGTCTGAAGAGGCTAAAAGGCATACATATTAAAGTGCCAACAGCTTAAGGAGAAAGGTATACTCCACAGCTTCTATTTAACTGTCAACAAGTCTTCTGAGACAAAACTCTTCCATCCGTCAACTCCAAACCTGCCAATTAAGACCTCAATCTATTTTTTGATTCTCCTTTACCACTTCTCTTCTGTATTTTACTTTAAATAAGCTCAAATATTAATTGTTCCTGCATGATCAAAAGTTGACCATCCTTTTTTGTGTGTGTGTGCTGGGGATCAAACCCAGCGCCTCGGTGCCTGCTAACCACGTGTTCTACCACTTAAGTTATATGTTCAACTATGATCATACCTTCTTAACTTCATATGCCATTTTTTATAGTGTTAGGTCAAACTTGATTTACCGTTTTTGTTTGTAAATAATGACTATTAAGTACTTTGTGAAAGGCTTTATACACTGAGTCCCCTTTTACTAGCTCAAGTAATCTTTGTACCAGCTCTGTGAAATAGGATAATTCATTTGCACCCACTTTATACATGAGAACATCAAGGCTCTGGAAGTTTAGAAAATTTGCTTAAAGTCAAATAAGGGAAAGGAAGTTTGTTAGAAAAGCACTGAATTAGAGTTGAGATTTTTTTTTTTTTTTTTTTTTTTTTTTTTTTTTGGTATTTTTACTGGTACCAGGGATGGAACTCACAACCACACGCTTGCAAGGCAGGCGCTTATGCCGCTGAGCTAAATCTCCAACCCCTATGGTTGAGTTTTTAAGGAATAGTGATTTTTTTTTAAGGAATAGTCAGAATATGATGTCATTCCAGACAAAGGAGCAACATATACAGGGGCACAGAAGTAATCCCATGTCTGTATTTCTAGCTACTTAAGAGATTGAGGCAGACTGATTACAAGGTTGAAGCCAGCCCAGGGAACTTAAATTTTTAGTTTTTAAAGGGTTGTGGATATGTCTTAGTAGTGAATCACTTGCCTGGTATAAACAAGGCCTTGGGGTTAATCCTTCAGTATCATTGGAGAAAAGAGAAAAAAATAAAGAATAGGAGAAAAAGAAGAAAAAACAGCTTGGTAGGTACTTCAGAAAAAATATCAGCCTTTGGAATCATTTAACCTGGGTTCAGTGTCTAATTTTGTTATGTTTTATGGCTTCTTACTATGATTTTCTAATCTAGGAACAGTAATAATAAGCTACACCATATCTAATGTGCTGTAAGATTAAGGTAAAATAATGTACATACAAGTGCCCCAGGTAGGCCAGTTCCATAAAAGACACTCAGGAGGTATTACTTTACATCCTTCACCCCGATGACAACTCAGTGATCCTTTGTCAAGAATGACACTTCCATCACTATTGAGCCTCAGACATACCTTCTCAAAGGTCAAGCTTTATAAGAACTTTTAGATACTGAAAGTTACTCAGCAAATTATGTGATAATGTCCTTAACTACTAGTTCTCAAATAAGACCCATTCTCGTATCACTCACCCGTGTAGGCCATGTTCTTAGGGTTGCCATAAGGAGCCCCAGGCTGCACGGGGCTGTAAACAGGGTTCATTGTGGAAGACAGGATCCTACAGAAAAGACAAAAACCAGCATTGATTACTGATTGCTAATTCTCTTTGACATCAGTTGCTTCTTCTTGGTGGGGAGTGATTAAGGATTGAATTCAGGGTATTTGCACAAACTGCATTCCCAGGAACACCCCCAACCCTTAATTCTTTATTTTGAGACAAGGTCTCAGTCACTGAATTGCCCAGGCTGGGCTTGAATTTTCAATCCTCCTGTCTTGGACTGCCAGAGTGCTGGGATTATACGCATATGCCACCACACATGGCCAACTTCTCCTTTAAAATTTTCAGTTTATATGGAAAGCAAAGCATTGTAGCGTAGTAAAAAGGTAACTACCAAAATATCTATGTTAGATACTTTTCCCATTTAACAGACAAAGATAGAGAAGTGATATAACTTGCTAAATGTTAACCGAGGCTCTCAGTTCATTGTTAGTCTCATATCCCACATATAACTCTGCCATTAGTATGGCATTGGTCAAGTCATGTTTCTTTTTAGTCCTGATGTAAAATGAATCTCTGAGATCCTTTCTAATTCTAATGATGCCAGTACAAGAGCTGGAAAATGGGGAATGGGGATTTAGCTCAGCAGCATAAGTGCCTGCCTTGCAAGCACGTGGTTGTGAGTTTGATCCCTGGTACCGGTAAAAGAAAAAAAAGAAAAAAAAAGAGCTGGAAAATGATAGGCTTCATGGTTTGCTATGGGAGCCTCAGAGCCTGGTAAGGGGGCACACAGCTTGCTGAAAGGAAGAGCAGCAAGTATCTTACCAACCATTCGTAACTGCAGAGGGCAAGATACCAATTACTAGCAGCTCTAAAGAAAAAAGGAGGATTTACTGCCGCTGAATATTATAATGCAAATAAGGAAACATTGTCAGGATCTCTTCAAACTTATTCGAGTCACAGAAGCTTGGAAATTTGTGTGTAGTATCACCTGCACAAGTACACTGTTAATTATCTTAATGAAGCACATTCTCCATTCTGATTAATGGAAAATCTATCATTAAGTTCTATTACCCAGCCAATGTGTCCCACTTTGTTTAGGGAGCCATTTCTTGCACATAGGCTGACATGTTTGAAAATGTGTCTCCAAATGTATTATTTACACTTCATAAAAATCAAATAATTCCCTCTTAAGTAGGTTTACATGATAGATCAGCAATTTTTTAGGTCATTAACTTCTTTGGTAGCACCTCAGGATAGGAAATAAGTCAAATGTTGAAGGCAGGGAATGAACAGCTGGCTTGACAATTATTCTGAGATTCATTAGTCTGTCCACAGTTCTCAAAAAAGAGGTGGAAAAAGAATTTGTTTCCAAAGAGAGGAGGCTAGTGTCATCAGATAAGCAAAAGGAAAAATACTACCCAACAACTTTTGAAGCTAACTTCCTGAAATTTACTCAATGTGCAGCCCAGGCAAACTACCCCCTGTAAAGAGGCTACATAAAAGTACTGCCAGTCTAAAAACTGTAACTACACTTTAGGATAATAGTTCAAGAAGGCATATGTATTTCTATTCAATTCGGGAAAAATATTCTTACAACCAGAGTTGAAAATTAAGAGCTAGCTGGGTGTGGAGGGGCACGCCTGTAACCCCGGCACTCAGGAGGTTGCAGCAGTAGGATCCTTGCAAGTTTAACACCAGCCTGGGCTATTAAGCGAGCTCAACGCCAGTCTGAACTGCTTAGTGAGATCCTGTCTCAAAAAGACAAAAAAAGAAAAAGGAAAGAAAAGAAAAGAGTGAATGATTTGGGGACAACGATGTGCAATGTATGTACCATTGTTGCCCCTGATTGACATGTTTTCAAATTTTATTTTTTCCTTTCCTTTTTTTTTCATTGAAATAAAATGGATTTAAAAAAAAAAAGAACAGAGAGATCACAGATGTTAAAGTAAGTTGGAAAACTGTAAAGTGATGTATGAACATAAGCAATGATGCTGTGTCAGTGGTGCTGATAAAAGGACAACACATTCTTTATACAATTCACCCACTTTGGGGAGTCTCTTCTATCCAACCAGTTCTCTGCCTACTATGGCAATGTAAACAGGATTGTTAAACTGATGCTGTGGTTTGGATGTATCCACCAAAACACATGATTAAAAAGTTTAATGGCCATTATAACAGTTATTAAGCGATGAGACCTTTAAGAAATGACTAGGTAGTGAAGGACCTGCTCTCATGAATGGATTAACACAATTCTCTGGGAATGTGCCTTGTATAAAGGAAGTTTGGCCCCTTTTTGCTCTCATTTACCCTCTTTTTGCCCTTAGGTTCTTCCGCCACTGGATGATACAAGAAGGCCCTGCTGGTTGTTGGCACATTAATAATGAACTTCCCAACCTCCAAACTGTGCACCAATAAATTGTTTACCTTCTCTTTCTTTTTTAAATGGTACCGAGGATCGAACTCACCACCACCTGCTTGCAAGACAGATGCTTATGCCGCTGAGCTAAATCCCCAGCCCAATAAGCTCAATAAATTGTTGAAAATTGCCGAGTCTGTGATGTTCTGTTAGGGCAGCATAAAATAAACTAAGTGCTACAAACCACAGCTGGCCCTGTAAACAACTGAGCACTCTCCTACTGAGAAGATACCCTGTATTGCTGATTGAACAAAATATGAAATTGCTTTTCATAATCAAAGAAGTTCATCAGCTCTGAAACTGGTTTCCTGCTGCTCCAAAATAAGGGCCACTGAAACAGGAGGAGTCCATGCCTGGGGCAGACCTCTACAATACATCAATTCCAATTCCAACTAATGACTATCACAAATGAGACCTGGTCGGGGTCAGAAATCTGGAATAAGACTATGATAGGGCACACAGAGTTCCCAGCTTCCAAAGGAAGATCAACTTTTTTACAACAGAATCTATACACTGTTTATAGTTTCAGGGACTGGCTAAATATCCATAGAGAGGTCAAGAGTTCCACAGTCAGGCAGATTTAAGTTCAAATCCTAGAAATGCCATATACCAACCGTGAGGGTTCCTGACCTCCTTTTTTCTGCCTGCCTGCCTCCCTGCCTACTGGTTTTGGTCTCTGTCTCTTTTTCTTTCTCTCCCCCTTAACCTTTCTGAGCTTTAGTTTCCTCTATCCTCAGAATCGAAAAAACAGTAACAAAACTTTGTAAAGGTATTTTTTATGATAAATTTACTGTGGTATCATCTATACACAATAAAATGTGCCCTTTTATAAAGGCATACAGTTCTATGAGCTGGAAAAATATATTCCGTTGTACAAATAACAACAATTCCATAATTTAGATGGAGTATTTTTACCACTCCTAAAAGTTCTCTTGCATGTTTTTTTTGTTTTGTTTTGGTGCCAGGGATCAAACTCATGACCTCACACTTGCCAGGCAGGCACTTATACTGCTGAGCTAAATCCCTGGCTCTCTTATATGTTTATAGTTAATACTATGTCTCTTACTCCCAGCTTCCAGTAACAACTGATTTACTTTCTGTTGTTGTAAGACTGTGTCTAAGGCTGTAAGGTGTGTATATATATATATATGTTTCTTTAAATTTCAGTTAAGATTAATATGAATTATTGAGAAAAAGCATAATAATTATAAAAATCTACCAATATGAATTACTGAGGAAAAGCATAATCATAAAAATCTACCAAATTGCACATTTCCTACATCTTCCTTCATCTTTTTCTAGATACTTACTTTATAATGATAGGAATATTTTAATGATAGCTGGTATAATGTTCAATGGCAGTAGAGTGGAAGGCCCTAAGTTTGAGCTCCAGCACTGTCAAAAAAGAGGGGGGAGTAATATTTGTGTTAGTGCAGCTGAGGAAGTCAATTTTCATTTTTATTTAATTTAAATTAACATAAATAGTTGCATGTTACCTTTCATTCAGAAAAACAGTATTTCAATATTATTTGTGTATCTCTCAGTCATAGTTTTAACAAAAATAATGTTTAATCACATTTGGAAACTTTTTTGTATTTCTCAAAGTGCTTCACATTAATTTTACCACTTGCTCAAGTACAAGATAAGAGAATTTTAGAACTGGAAGTAAGCACAACTCATTTTACAAATGAAAACGTGAAACTGAACAAAAGCAAATGAACAGTTCAAGGTCATAAAGCAAGCCAGGAGCAGAGTTAAGAGTAGCACCTAAAAAAGGTCAAAGATTTAATTGTCAGAACTAAAAATATAAAACTGTTAGAAGAATGAGGGGGAAACAGAAATAAGGCTTCACAACCTTGGATCTGGCAATGATTTCTTACATAAAGTATCAATAGTACAAAAGACCAAAAGAAAAGAAAGATAAATTGTATAGTCATCTAAACAAAAGCTCTTCTCTTTAAAAGATGCCATCAAGTGAAAAAAAACCACAGAATGAGAGAAAATATATTCAGATCACACACTTGATATGGGATTTGTATTTAGAACATAAAAAACCTTTATTGCTCAATAATAAAAAAGTCCAATTAAAAATGAGTAAAAGATTTGAATAGACATTTCTCCTAAGAACATACACAAATGGAAAATAAACGTTGAAAAGATGTAAATCAAAACATCATACTAAATGGTCAAAAACTGAAAACTTTCACTGTAAAATCAGGAACAAGACAGAGATGTGCACTACCACCACTTCTATTCAATACGGTTCTGAAAACATTAACCAGAGCAATTAGACAAGGGAAAGAAATAAAAGGACTAAAGATCGGAAAGGAAAAAAGTTATATTATTATTATTTGCAAATGACATGATACTCTACATAGAACACCCGAAAACTCGACCAAAACATTCTAGATTTAATAAGCAAATTCATTCATGTAACTGAATACAAAGTCAATAGCACTCCTCGACACAAGTAACAAATGTACTGAGAATTAGTGAAACCACACCTTTCTCAATAGCATTTTTAAAATGAAGTACTTAGGGGGCTAGGGATTTAGCTCAGCGGCATAAGCACCTGCCTTGCAAGCAGGCAGTCATGAGTTCGATCCCCGGTACCGATAAAAAGGAAAAAGACAAAAATAAAAATGAAGTACTTAGGAATCAAAATAGGAAGTAAAAGATTTTTTATTTATTTTTTGTACCAGGAATTGAACTGATGACACTGAGCTGAATCCCCAGTCGGAAGTAAAAGATCTTTACATTAAAAACTATATACTCTGAAAAGTAAGTTCCAAGAGAATAACAGAAAATGGAGATATCCCTTGCTCTAGGGAAAGAAACATCTAGGGAAGGAAAAACCAACATAGTGAAAATGTCCATCATTTAAAGTGAAAAATCCCAAAATTGTTAAACAGATTTAATGCAAACTCAGTCAAAACACTAGCAGTATACCTCACAAAATTTGAGAAAACAATCCAGAATTCATTTGGAACCAGAAGAGATCTAGAATACCAAAAATAATTTTTTCTGGGCAACAAAGGCAATTCCTTTGTATCACAATTCCTTACTTTAAATTATACTACAAAGCTACCATGATAAAAACAGTATGGCACTGGAAAAACCAGACCCAAGATTCAATGAAACAGATAAAACCACACAGAAACAACTCCAAACACACTCAGTCACCTTATCTTTGACCAAAGGGGCCAAATACTTTCACTAGAAGAAAGATATCCTCTTTAGTAAATGATGCTAGAAAAACTGACTTTTTTCAACAAAGGAGTCAAACAACTTCACTGCAAGAAAGATAGCCTTTTTAATAAAAAGTACTAGAAAACCTGGTCTTCCACATGCCAAAGACTAAAACTATTCCATCTCTCATCATGCACTAAACTAAAATAAAAATTGGGTCAAATACCTAAATATTAAGATGAACCTAGTGGCACATGTCTGTAATCCTCAGCCTCATGAGGCTGAGGCAGGAGGAGTGCTGTGAGTGCAAAGCCAGCCTGGGTTACATAAGGAGTTCAACATCAGTCTGGACTACATAGAAAGACTGTGTCTTTAAAAAAAAAAAAAAAGATACAGAAAGATCTAACTATTGAAACAGAAACACTAAATCTGCTGGAAGAAAAAACAGGCAGAGACATAGGAAGACTCAGGTTAGGCAAAGTGCTTATGAACAAAACTTTGACTGCTCAGGAATTATCACAAAGAAGCAACACTGCGATCTCATCATATTAAAAAGCTTCTGCACAGGGGGCTGGGGATTTAGCTCAGTGGCATAAGCACCTGCCTTGCAAACAGGCGGTCGTAAATTCAATCCCTGGTACCGATAAAAATGAAAAAGACCAAAAAGCTTTTGCACAGCAAAAAGAAATCACCAACAGAGTGAAGAGATAACCCACAGAGTGCAAAAAATTCTGGGAGCTGTTCTTCAAAGGATTACTATCTAAAATATATAAAGAACTAAAAAAAAAAAAATCATACCCTCCAAATTTGAACAGGCATTTGAAATGAATCCAAATCCATAAATGGGCATCTGAAATGAACACACACTTCTCAGATGAAGAAGTACAAACAGAAAATAAATATATGAAAAAATGTTCAACATCATTAATCATTTACAAATGTAAATTAAAACAACTGTGAGGGTCGGGGATTTAGCTCAGCAGCATAAGCGCCTGCCCGGCAAGCGCTAGATCATGAGTTTGATCCCTGGTACCAAAAAAATAAAAATAAAATAAAATAAAACAACTATGAGATTCCATCTCACTTCAGAAAGAATGGCTACTGTCAAGAAACAACCAGTAACAAATGCTGGAGGGGCTGTGGGGAAAAGGATCCCTTCTCTACTAGGCGCTTGAGCCACTGAGCTAAAACCCCAGCTTGAGACAATACTCTTAAGTGAAATAAATAGGACACACATGCAAATACCGCACTGTTACTCTGGCCTGAGAAACCGAAAGTGTAAATAAGGACCATGATATATAAAAGATGCTGTGAAACAGGAAGAAAATGTTCAAACAGGAAGAAAGGGGAATTAGGGAGAGGGAAGGAGGAAAGGAAGGGAAAAGAAAAGAAGGATAAATGAAGACAAAGCTTTTGTAAATAAAGAGGGGTTAAAAGGAGGGTAGGGGGATGGGGAAAAAATCAAATGGTATCACGTACAGGTAGAGATTCCTTATGATGAATGTGATCATTATGTAGATCTAAAATACACCAACAAACTTAATTAAAGAAAAAACTTTAAGACACCACTTCACACATATTAGAATGGCTATAATTTTAAAGAAGACAAGTAAAGAACAAGTCTAATTCATCCTTGATATGCTTTGTTTTTTAAGACAGCGTTTTGCTATGCAGTTCAGACTGGCCTGAAACTCTACGTAGCCCAGGCTGGTCTTAAACTTGCAGTGATCGTCCTGTCTCAGCCTCCTTAGTGCTGGGATTACAAGCATGCACCACTATATCCAACTGAGAAGTACCATTTTTTTTTTTTTTTTTTTTTTGGTACCGGAGATTGAGCTCACAACCTTGGGCTTGCCAGGGAGGTGCTTATGCCGCTGACCTAAATCCCCGACCCCATCCTTGATGTTCTTGTTTCAATTAGTTTATTTGTTTTATCAGTACATATTCATGATACTTGATATTCTTTCTTAAACATAAGGGATAAGGGCATTATTCTCTTCACAAGCATTTGGAACAAGTTGCAATCTCCTTACATAATAATACAAGATCCTTTTCTGGGACTTGGGAATCTAAGGATTTAAATTCACCAGGAGCTATTGACACTCAAATGATTCAAGGACCACTACCTTAAACATCCTTACCCAGATATAATTTCTCTCATATAAGCCTGATAGAGGAACTGAACAAGAACGATGACAAAGACACCGTGCTTACATTTTAGCTTGGAAGAGGTTAGTAAAAGAAGAATTTTTTAAAATGAATTATACTGTACATCAGATGGTAATAAATGCTATAAAGCGACCTACTGAGGATGTGTGGGAAGTACCGAGGACAGGGGTTGCAATTTTCATTTCATTTTGATTGATTGATTGACTGAAACAGCGGTTTTGTTTTGTATTGCAATCTGGCCTTGCACTCCTTAGGAAGCCCAGGCTAGCCTCAGGCTTACTACATCCTCCTGCTTTAGGTCCTGAGTGCTGAGGTTACAGGCATGCACCTGAACTGCTGGCTAAGGGTTGCAATTTTAAATACAATTCTTAGAAAAAATGTAACTGACATCTGAACAGAGACCTGAATAAATTGAAAGACTAAGCCATATAGAACTCTGACAAGACACTGTTCAAGTAGAGAAAACAGCAAATAAAAATGCCCGAAAGTGGAAGCATATTTGAGAAGTAAATCTGTGGAGTAAGTGAAAAAGAAAAGTAGAAAGTTAAATTCAGACAAGTAATGAAGGCAAAAAATCACGCAGGGTTTTGAAGGTCAATATAGGGACTCTTTTTATTCTAATAAGCTGGCGTGATGGTTGTCAATTTGACTGGATTAAGGTATGCTAGAAATCTGATAAAACGTTATTTTGAGTATATATGGAAGGGTAGTTTACAAAAAAAGATTAGTATTTGTGTTTTAGAGGACCAGTTGGAAAAGTGTAAGCAGGTACCATTCAACTGGCCTACCAGGAGAGCAAATACATAACGTAAACAAGTCCCTTCTCTAAGATTTGGGGCAGACGTTTTTCCACCATCTTCAGCATCAGACCTCCAGGCACACAGGCCTTTGTAGTACAAGATTTAACACTATCAGCCCTCCAGGATTTAAGGCTTTTGGCCGTGGACTAGCTACTTTATCTGCATCCTAGGATCCCCAGCTTGCATAATGCCTCTTCTGGATTCCTTACATATCATAATTATGTCAACCAATTCCCC